GATTTAATGTTATCTCCTCTGGGAAGAGCTGATGATGGAGGAGTCCTGGCAAAGGAAACAATGAGTGCTTGGCATATCTGAGAACAGCAAGAAAATCAGTGTGGTGGGAATAGAATTTAGGGTGCTGGAACATGAAGTCAGAAAGTTAGGTAGGGACTAGACTATATATCATTTTGCAGACTATATAAAGAATTTAGATTTTAAGAATAAACCAGTAAAATAGGGAAATGATATAGCTTGATATATGTTTTAAAATATAATTATGTTTTAAAATAGCCTGTAAGGGATCAAACTATAGGAAACCATTTCTAGAGAAGTGGAAAGAGAGATCAACAGGCAATAATAGAAATCTCTCTATATATACATTCACCTATAAATACCAGTAAAAAAAAAAAAAGTGGTTTAACATAAGCATCTTTAAAAAAAAAAAAAAAAACAACTTCTATTCCAATGCCAGCATATTATCCCTTAATCAATTTTATGCAACAAATGTTAGCATTTTTAAAAAAATATTTTTAATGTTTTAATTTTATTTTTGAGAGAGACAGACTGCGAGCAGGGGTGGGTCAGAGAGAGAAAGAGAGCCAGAGATAGAGAGACAGAATCCAAAGCAGGCTTCAGGCTCTGAGCTGTCAGCAGAGAGCCCAACACAGGTCTCAAACTCATGGAACCATGAGATCATGACCTGAGCTGGTCAGATGCTTAACCGACTGAGCTACCTAGGCACCCCACAACATATGTTAGCATTTTTATTTAAAATTCAACTTAAGATGTGATGCTTTTAAGTAATTATCTACACAATCAACTGTGCATGTATTTATGATTTATAATTTATAACTTAATACAAAGATCTACTTATTTTGCTTTACTTGCGAATATATACAATACTCAAGTAAAAATTTGCTAACTAATATGATGTCATTTCCCATATTTTTCTTTGACTATCACAGGTGATAATAGTGACTATTATTAATTATTATTATCACTTACAGTGATCATAATATTCTACACATTGAAATTAGTTTATTTAAAATGTGAGAGTTTAAAAAATGCATCCAATTAGTAGTTTTCCAATTAGTATTTATGACTTTTCAAATATTTTGATGAACAACAGTTTTTTGTACAGCTGCCAGTCTCCATTAAGGTATTTCTAAAAATACATCCTGATGTTCTTTAATAAAATTTATTAACTGAGTATAACTTAATCTGGCATATAATAGGGACTTAATATACTGGAATTCAAAAATAATATAGATTTGTACTATTTTATTATTCTGACACAAGCATTTCTATTAAAGTCATGAAAATAATTGTGTTTTCAAGAAAGGCATATAAAAACTTTATAAAAATAAAAGGTAATAGAATGGAGAAGATATTTTCAAATGACATATCTGATCAATGGTTAGTATCCAAAATATATAGGGGCGCCTGGGTGGCTTAGTCAGCTAAGTGTCCGACTTTGGCTCAGGTCATGATCTCACAGTTTGTGAGTTCAATCCCTGCGTTGGGCTCTGTGCTGACAACTCAGACCCTGTTGTCTGCTTCAGATTCTGTGTCTCCCTCTCTCTGCCCCTCCCCTGCTCATGTTCTGTCTCTTTCTCTCAAAAATAAATAAATGTTTAAACAAAAACAATATATATAAAGAACTTACACAACTCAACACACAAAAAGCAAATAACCCAATTAAAAATGGTCTGAAAACATGAATGGATATTACTCCAAAGAAGACACAGATGGCCAACAGACACATGAAAAGATGCTCAACAACAAACATCATCAAAGAAATCCAAATGAAAACTACAATGAGATATCATCGTACACCTGTCAGAAGGGCTAAAATCAACAACACAAGAAACAGCAAGTCTTGGCAAGAACCTACGGAAAAGGAACCCTCTTGCACTGTTGGTGGGAATGCAAACTGGTGCAGGCACTGTGGAAGACAGTATGGAGGTTCCTTAAAAACTTAAAAATAGAACCACCATATGATCCAGTAATCACAGTACTCATTATTTACCCATAGAGTACAAAACACTAATTGGTAAGGATGCATGCACCATCATGTTTATCACAGTAGTACTTATAATAGCCAAATTATGGAATCAGCCCAAGTATCTATAAATATATGAATGGAGAAAGAAAAAATGTTATTAATATACAATGTGCTATCATTCAGTCATACAAAAGATATAATCTTGCCATTTTCAACAACATGAATTGAGCTAGAGAATATAGTGCTAGGTGAAATCAGTCAGTCTAGAAAAGACAAATACCATATTTCGCTCATATGTGGAATATAAGAAACAAATGAACAAAGGAAGAAAGAGAGAAAAACCAATAAACAGACTCTTAACTATAGAGAACAAACTGATGGGTACTAGAGAAGAGGTAAGGATGGATGCATGAAATAGGTGATAAGGATTAAATAGTACATTTATCATGGTTAGCACTGAGTAATGTACAGAATTGTTGAACTCTACATTGTACACCTAAAACTAATGTAACACTGTATGTTAACTCTAGTGGAATTAAAATAAAAACAATAAAGAAAAGTAAAAAACTATTTTCTTGGTACCTATATCATCAAAGACACTGTTAGGATATTTACTTTGTTTCCATTTTTAAAAAGGTTACATATTTCAGAAACTAAAGATGATTTCTTTTACTTTTTATTTGAGAAAAAATTAAGAGAGAGAGAATAAAAAAGGGAAGCAAAAAATGTCTTTAGATGTCTTAAAGAATGACTTTTAAAGATCTATGATTTTTTTGTGTTACCCTCATTAAACATGCATTATTGCTTGAAAATGAACACAGACACGTGCACACACAGAGGCTATTTTTTATTTGAAGAGATTTTAACATGAAATGGTTTCTTTTAGTAATAAAATCCAGTATACTATTTTTGGGAAGTGAAAAAGTGTGCCTGGAATGCATATATATACACATACATATATGTATGGAATACATATAATATACAGATTGTTCCATAATGGCATGTTGAAAACATGAGTACTCCTCCTAAATGTCATCTTATCAGAAATTGCTTCTGTGAACCCCAACTGAAGTAGCCCCTTCTATCCTCTCATTGTGCCTTGATGTGTTAATTATATCGTAGTTTGGATCACTCTCTGATACTAATTTATTTATTCATGTGCCCATTGTTACTCTCCCTGCATTGTCCCACTCAACAGTAACATACTTGTCTAAGATCAATGTCTTCTTGAAATTTTACTGAAGAGCCATCTGTTGTATTCCCAACTTTTGCCAATAATGTGAACAGACCCCCCTCTTGATAGCACTATATTAATCATATACTTACAGTATCCTGCTTAGTTGCCTCATAGTCTGTGATTAACTTCCATGTATATGTGTGCATATGTGCAGGTGTGTGCCCTTGTGTGTCTTCTCTTTGATTTTCACAGCGTACAGCATTTAAGTGCTCTGAAAACATTTACATTTGTTGATGAAGAATGTTTAACACAACAGGACACTGTAAATAGGGGGAAATACTGCTTTGGGGGACAGGGACTGAGCAGAACTCATCAAAACAAGTGAAACAAAATTTATATTAATGTCTCAGAAATCACAGTCTGAGAAAGGCCCATTTCACTAATTCAAATGTGTAGTTCTCATGAATCATAATTGTACTTCTAGCAACTTTAAGTCTCTCTAATGTTTGTGTGTCAAGTGCTAATTTTCTTCCTTTCCTTTTATACTGTTTATATCAAAACAGTATAAAAATACTAAAAGTGTCTTAAAATGTAAAAACTAGTGATAAGTTCATTTTTGTGCTTCAAATTGTCTTTGTTTCTGATAAAATTAAAAGTATCTTTTTTAAAGATACTATTAAAGCTGTAATCAACTATTAGTGTTATTAACTTTCTTCTCCACTTGTGATATTTAACCATGTAATTCAAATACAGCACCAAAACTTAGATTTAAAAATACAAATGAAATGGAACTAACAGTAATCAGGTAAAAGATTCACTAACAGATTTCCCTGTTTGGGCATGATTATATCAAATTATTATCTAACTAAGATGTTTTCTAAAAGACATAGATAACCTGAACCTTTAAGTCTCTAGAAAAGAACCAGTTGCCAAGAAGAAATTGCTGTTTAAAAATATTAATCCAATGCAGTTATTTTAATTTTATCACTTTGGGTTAAGAAGCACACCACTAACTGACACCTGAAAACTTAGAAGTTACTTGTCTATTATAGGAATTTCTACTGCATATTTGTCAAGTTCTTGCAGGAAGTTTCATCCTAGAATTCTATGGGTTTTTTTTTTTTAATCTTTATCACATCTTTCAGGAAAAATAATGGAGCCAAATGATATTAATGTGTTAAACTCTTCATTGTTATCAAAATGCCATTAGACAAAAAGTGTTAAATATTTACACAAAAAATTTCCTTTAGATTTTGGCTAGTAAAAGTTGCTGAGAGAAATATCTCATTAAAGGAGGGAACTATAACACAGTGCAGATAATCACAGGAGATATAAACAAAGGCAGTTTACATTAATAATTAAGTGAAAAAATTTCCTGTGAAGATTTAGATAAGCTACAGGCAGAATGTGAAATCACTTGGCTAACTGATCATTAGTTATGTTTTAGACTAGAGGAATATATATTAATGTGACCAGCTTTTCTATCCTATTTTTCTATTCTAATAATTTGTCTAATGTAATAAATAAAGCTATTATACATTCTTTGTGAGGAAAAATCATCCCCATTAGAACCTGATGTTTTTATTATCTGTAAAGGAGTATTTAATATAAATAACTGTGTAAGGAAAGTTTATCACTTCTCTGAATTTTTTGAGTTGTGCATTAGATTAATTTTAATGGAAATTTTGTTATTGTTGTCAATACAAGTATATACTAACCTGACCTTTGCAATAAAAGGTATTTGTCATTTTACTCTCAGATTTTTGAGTAGGTTTGTGTTTGTCTACTTTTTTTGTTTTATCCATTTTTGAAAACTGTTATTTATTTCAACAGGGCATTCTTTAATGAAGAAACATCACAGCTGCTAAACACAGTGGGTGGGCCACAGGATATCCTAGTAACCAAGGATGGCTTCCTCTTGGAAACTAATTCTGTTTCTGTCAGTAGCTGGGTATCTTTCAGGTAAGAATCCTGCTGTATGTATCAAATAACAAAAATATATTAAAGTCTTCGTTACAAAATATCCTCAGGTATTCATTTAAATTTATATCAGATTTCATGCTTTTCAACAAAAGAAAGAAAAAACAATTCTTACCTTTGTTAGCATTGCAAAAAGTCATATACGATTCAATATAATAAGGTACTTAGAAAAATACTATATAATTTTAATAAAATTAGTATCCATCCCACCTATTGTCTTTCACTTACAATCTAAACCATTATTAGCTTTTAGAAGATTTGATTATATATATATATATGTATATGTATATATATATATAATTTATAGCAAGTAATTGTAAAAGTATCTTTTTATAATGTTAAGTTTCATCATATAAAGACAGAATCATCCTGGATTTATTATACTTACACACACACAATCATTTAAAGGCATCTCTAACACACTAAATTTTTTTTGGGTATCTCAGAATCTCTAACTTTGTTTTAATCAATCATATTGTTCTGTATCTTAGATTTAAAGTGATATCTTTTATTTTGCAACAGTAGTTTATATTCTTTGGAGTAATAGTATTATACTGCTTAAAATTAATATGTCACAGTTTTGGTTTTAATTTAAGAATGTTTAGAAACTAAATTATAGTGATGATTTAAATGTTTATACATGTAACATTTATAGCTTGATTCAGTTGAACTCGGTGGCTATGTTGTGTTCTTAAGTGCTAACAGTATAACTTCAACTATGTATAATGGATGAATCCTCTTTTAAAACCAAAGAGGTAATCCTCAACTTAGTTTATGCTCAAAAACTTTGAAATTCAAAGGAATATTTTTGTATGCAAAGATAATTTTTTAATTTCAGTTATAAATGCCTGTTATATGTTTAAATGTATCTGAATGTTTTGGGAAGATATATAAAAGCCTCTTTTTTGTTGGAATAATAGTAATTAACTGCAAAAACAAGAAAGCAATTGCTTATTATTATTATGTGTTTAGCACTACTGCTTATAGAAAAAAGAGATTTAAGAAGAGACAGAAAAGATAGGATGAAGCCTCTGTAAAATGGTGGTAGAGACATCTGTGAAAATATGAGAAAGAATCATTAAGAGTTCAACTGGGGTGCCTTGGTGGCTTAGTTGGTTAAGCCTCCGACTTTCGCTTAGGTCATGATCTCACGGTTCATGGGTTCGAGCCCCGCGTCAGGCTCTGTGCTGACTGCCAGCTCAGAGCCTGGAGCCTGTTTCAGTCTGTGACTCCCTCTCTGACCCTCCCCTGCTCACGCTGTCTCTCTCTCTGTCTCCTAGAAATAAATAAACATTTAAAAAAAAAAAAGAGTTCAATGAAAACCCAGTTTCATCAATATTATTATTTTAAGAAGAAAAAGAGTTTTCAAATATTTTGTTCTATTTTAGGCATTTTCAGGTACTTTGTGTGCAGTATTAGCATCTTCCTTGCTGATCTAAGTTTCTGTCTCTTTTATTGTGTCAATGTCACCTCCTCTTGAACTAACTAACTGAAGGGAATAGATGTAGGCTTGCAAGATAAAAGAAAGGATGCACAGTTAAGATTGAATTTTAAATAAACAGTTTTAGTTCTAGTATGCTCTATGCAATATTTTATTTTATACAAAATTTAAATTTAACTGGAGTCTAGTGTTTTTATTTATTAATTTGACAATGATGATGGGTGGAGGGAGAATGGTAGTTTATAATAGCACTCCAAAGTTTTATTTTCTTGTACTGACATGATATAATCCTCCCAAATAAACAATAACTTCAAATGATGTATTCTACTCTGGTTGTGGAAACATGAAAATACTCAGTCTGACATGCGTCCACAATTGCTATATTTCCAGCTTATAAGGTAATTAAGGTGTTGCTTTTCCCATAGTGTAGAATAAAACATTGGAAAATATGAGTAACAAAGATGAGTCTGGGAGGTAAACTACTATTCAGATGTTATAGACAATGCCAAAAAAAAAGTTGAAAGCAAAAGGAATTTATCATTTTTACATGAGATTTAGTTTTTAATTATCTGCATTTAATTTAAAACATCCATGTGTATTATTTTTAAAAACAGATTAATTTCTTCTATACTGCAAAGATCTGTTTAATAGTTGATTAAATACTTGAAAGGATCAGTTATCAATGATAATTACATTCAAAAACTTTCTCTCACTTTTACCTTCTTATTTTAACAAATTATTATTGTGCTTTTAGTACTATGTAATACATTCAATACTTAATTCACTATTTTATTATTTGGTGTTTTATTCTTTAGTTTTTTCTGGATATCATTTTTTGGATATTGTTTATGAGTATCATATTAAAAAGTCTACTTGGCATGGTAACTTGATTATTATAGAAAATGAAGGTAATTAAGCTATGAGTAATGATCACATTTTATATTGTAGCTGTATATGAGCCAGCAAAATTGATGAAAGAAATAAGAGAAGTCCAAGATTGTATTCTCTCTTTGTTTCACTTATTCATTTTTAAATGTATCGATTATCTTGGGTATGTTTCACTAAGAAATATAGAAATCTTATACAACCCTGTGTTTAAAAACTGGCTATTAAAAGCAATAGAAATTGATAGCTTGTATAGGGATCTATAGTCTTACCTTTAAAAAGGATTGATCATTAAAACAACAGTGAGATACCACCACACATAACAAAATCATTAAGATCCAGGTAGACACAAAAAATAAAGCACTATCAAATACTGGTGGAGATACAGGAAATAGGAATGTTTATTCATTGCTGGTTGAAAACCAAAATGGTCCAACTACCTTGGAAGACATTGTGGCTGTGTTTATAAATCCAAATAGCCTTACCATATAATCAAGCAATTGGACTCCTAGGCAAGTCCTGAACTGATTTTAAAATGTATGCTTGTGCAAAATACCCACACAAAAAAAGTTTACAGGAGTCTCATTAATAATAATCAGAAATAGAAAACAACCAAGAGGCCCTTCAGTAAGTGAATGGATAAACAAACTGTAAATTTCATATAATGTAGTACTATTCATAATAAAAAGAAATGATCAAGCCATGCAAACACATGGCCCAGTGGGATGAAGCTTATATACATATTGCTAACTGAAAGAAGCCAGTCTGAAGAGGCTAGATATTGCATTATTCCATGTATAAGACCTTTTTAGTAAGGGAAAATTATGGAGATTGTACAAATTACCGATTGCCAGGCGTTGGGACAGAGGGATGATTTAAAGTGTGAATGAAGCATAAGATTTTTTTTAGGGTGATGAAACTATTCTATATGATATTGTAACAGTGGAGAACTATCATATTTTATCAAACCAATAGAACTTTATAGCACAAAATAAACATTAATGTATACAAAATTTTAAAAATAATTTAAGAAGTTAGAGGATCCAGGATGAAAGGCAGAATATGACCAACAATCTAAATATGCTACAAATGTATGAAGTAACTTCACTTAGGGAAGTGGGGGACAAAGGTACTGACCTAAGTAACTATGGAAATGAATCTTCAAGACTTAAGCAAAAACAAAACAAAACAAAACAAAAAACCTCTATTTTGGTAATATACTGCAGTTTATGATATCATTATTAGCAACTCTAAGAATGCTATACATGGAATTGAGCAATTAAGTCATTGGAAGGTGGATGTTGGGAGCCAGATTCCTCACTGTTGGAGTGAGAGGTTGCAGATAACCAAGAGAAGAATGGTATGACTTACATGGCAGTGTATTAGAATTGAAGACTTCAGTTTGAACCATGTTTAGCTTAATGTAGATATAGATGGTTACATATAAAAAGTATTTATGAATATGTATATATACATGGTTAGGTATACACACATGCCATTCTGTCATCTGAGAAGGCTTAAAAGCAAAGTACCATAGTAGAAACCAACACACAAAGTATCGAGATCTTTGTTTCTAATACTCTTCTCCTATTGAAGGGATCCGTGTGATTTTTAGAAGGACTAACTCTAGGACTGGGGAAGGAAATGTACTTGACAAGCTTAGAGTATCCTGTAGTGCCAGAAAGTAAGGGAGAGCTAAAACAAACAAAGCAGCAAACAAACAAACAAAAAATGAACACAAAGAGGAAGGCATGTCAAAAGAATAATTGGAACCAACTGAAAGAGTTCCCAATGGCCTAAACTGGAAAAAAATTGAGCAAGAATATAAAGAAGCATGAATAATAACCCAAAGAATAAAATAATTACCGAAAAGTCCGTATTGATATAAGTAATTAAACAAACTAATTAATCAAAAGAATAGACAAATTCCACATGTAGATGAACATCAAATAATTTATAAATTTTTTTTTCTCAAAGAAGTGGAATGTAGCTCCTCCCTCTTTTAAATGTGGGCTGTCCACAGTGACTTGCTTGCAAAGAGTACAGAGTGGAAAGTGGGGATAAAATAAAGTGAGGAAACTGATAAACCTTCTTCAACCCAGTGATGATTAAAGTCAACATCAGCAGAGATAGCATTTATGCTTGATATGATGTGATAAAAATGACACCTAACCTCTGTGATTTTCCTCACTAAACCTATATTCCCAGTCTAATCATAAGAAAAATATGAGACAAATCTCAAATGAGAGACATTCTATGAAATGCTTGGCCAGTACTCCTCAAAAATTTGAAGGTCATCAAAAACTAGGACTATTGAAGTTACTGTCAAAACTCAACATAATGCGTGGCTCTGGATAGGATCCTGTAATAGAAAAACAACATTATATAAAACACTGAAAAAATCTTACACATTTACTTTACGTAAAAAGTAGTGGAAATATCAATCTTATGACAGTGAGTGGTGAAATGGTTAGGGGAGTAGGAAAATTAGACAATTACTGTAAATTTTCTTTCCTGAGAAGTTGAGCTGAAGAAAAGAAAAAGGAAGATAGAAATTCAAAAGTGTATGTATCTGTACATTTGTGGATGTGTTTTAAGCGTGGAGAAACTACTGTTGAAAGAAATTCGATTAACAGAATACATAATATATATGTTA